AGTCATATGCTCCGATTTTTGGAATTTATAAAAAAAGTATATTTTTTTAAAACTTTAAAGGTAAATAATTTTTGATCTACTAGTCTATTTTAAATAATTTTACTACCAAAATGTTCGTCTCTTTGAGACGATTCCAACAAGCCCAAAATCATAAAAATCCAATCACAGAATCATGAGAAAATGCGCTATCAAATAGGTGACACACCTGAAATTGGTTTGATATATGTCAAACCAATTTCAGGTGCATCACCTATTTGATGGCACATTTTCTCATGACCCTGTGATTGGATTTTTATGATTTTGGGCTTGTTGGAATCGTCTCAAAGAGACGAACATTTTGGTAGCAAAATCATTTAAAAATAGACTAGTAGATCAAAAATTATTTAGCTTTAAAGTTTTTAAAAAATATGCTTTTTTTATAAATTCCAAAAATGTAAAGTGTCCACTACTACGCGCCGGATAATTAAAATTACATTTAAAAGTTAGGTCGTATCTAATTTTAACAAGTTATTTATAAAGTAAAAATGTGAAACATAAAAATATTTATTTGCTAACTGCCAGGACTGTTACATTAAACAGCTATCACATAAAATTTTCCTAAAAATTATGTAACAATTTTATAAAAAGAGAATTTTTGATCTTTAAAATTCAAATATATAATCAGATAACCTCTTTCAGGATCATAATGACAAAATATGAAAAAAGTATTGAGAGAACGTGCATTTATAAAGTTAAGATAATATTATCGCTATAAATTTTACTATTTTAGAGCGTGCACTTAGTATCGCATTTGTTATTAAATACAGCATAATAACGATAATAATAAATTCGAAATTTCCATCATTTAATATATCTAATAATTATACGTAGATGGTATTCTTAATTCACAGATAAAAAAAAAAATTATCATAAATGATATAACCCATATGTTCACTCTTCAAAACTAAAGAACATCCACTTTTCTTGTATTATATATAAGCCTCTATATAGAAAATACAATTACCAGTTTACCTTAAACAAGCATTATCTATGAGGACTATTTGCCTAAATGCCAAGATTGGTTCTCAAAAAGCCAAGATTCCACAGCCTTCAATAACTCATCTTTTTGGTTTTTAAATCGATGGTCAGCACCTTCTATTATTATAAGTTTATGATGAGGTTCAGGGCCGATTAACTTATCGTAAGTATAAGCACCGTCCACAGGGCAAACTTCATCCTTCGAGCCATGAACAGTCAAAACTCTCACTTTTTCTTTATTAATATTTTTTACACAAGACATGTCTATTTTCGACCTCGTTATTAAATCTTCTTTCCGAACAATATAATCACCTGGTCCATCCTCCCAAACAAAAAAACCATCTTTCTCCAATTTTTCAAGTTTATCAGGAAAGGCCTTCTTAACATAATCAGGGTCAGGATAATCATATCTGGCGGAAAGGTTGATGACCAATGGGACATCATTGTATATCGATGCATATAAAAGGACAACAGCAGCACCTTTACTACGACCACATATACCAAGGATTTCGCGTTTCAGCGTTGATCGTACGTAAGAGATAACACAACGAAGATTTTCCACTTCATCATAAAGATTTCCAATAGCCGTTGATCCACCACTTTCACCATTTCCTTGAAAATCAAAAGTAACCATGTGATATTTTAAATTTTCAGCGATATGGCGAATAGTTTCTGAGTTTTTTGTACTTCCAAGGCCATGGCATAATATAATGACAGCATCACTTGGAGCATTAGACTTCAGGTATAATGACCCGTGAAGTGCGAAACCTTTGTCTGTGTCTGCTTTTAAAGGAGTTTCATTCATATTGCAATTATAAAAAAATTTAGCCTCTATAAATTAATTACCTCTCTACCGGGAATAATGAATAAAATGTTTATAATTATCAATGTACAAGACAGCAAATAATTAAGTATACTTTAATAATGGAAAGGCGACACTTAAATGAGAGAACTCGTATTTTAGTAATAAATCTTATCGCTAAAGTTCTAAAATTAACACTATAAATTAATTAATTTTTTTTAATCGTAAGTTGGTGACGTAGTGTATACTAAGATCCATTTATTATTCATCAGAGTGTACACAATACTCTTGCACTAGATAAAACAAAGATTGTTTTTTTGTGGTCTAAAAAATTTTGCCATCAAATACGAAATTTGAACGATTGACATTTAAGATAAATTTTCCGATTCGACGGAACAATTTTTATGCGGCTAAACGGTTCCATTTCTTCGCTGTTTCAAAAGTAAATTACACTCATGAGATATAGTACAACAGTTGAAGTATACAAGTGCTTTCTTGGGTTTAAAGTAACCCAATAATAAAGTTGAGAAAGATAGTCCCTCTAAAGAAGTTATTTTTAAATATAGTATTTGCTTTGAAAGAACCGAAAAAATTATTAAGATTTACGAGTTATTAGAGATGGTCATAAGTAATAACCAAATTATTAGTATTATCGACTCTAAATATAAAGCATTTTTAAATTTAGAAATTTCAAGTGGACTGAATTAAATTATAGATAAAAAACTCACGTTTGTCTCTCAGAATTATTATACGACCAAGCTAACTCTTTATAATTCTTTGAAAGTCCAATAGGCGGTCAAGATAACAATTAACAGTGTTAATTTTTAGAATTACAACTAATAAAATTCAAATAAACTAAAAAATACTACATTGAGATAATTCTTTAGAATCCAAGAAGGTTAAAATTAATTTGAGATCACTAGAGATTAGTTTCTTATTTTAAATAGATACCTTTATGAATATTCATTTGAATACAATTTAACTGACTTTTTATGATATCAGATAGTCATGTGAACTGCCAATTGGTCCTCCATTAACCTTATATATTTGTTAGTAATGACTTAATCCTTGATTATCAGAGTAAATAAATATTAGTATATTATAATAGAGATTATGCAATATTTAAACATCAAATAATATCTCTAATTTTGAAGTAAATTTGCAGGTAATTTCTCATGCCTATAATAATTATAGAAGGCCAATATGGTAGAAAACGTGGAGTAGGAATTCCGAGCAGAATTGCTTGTGAAGCAATATGACATCAAGATTCTTTGAAAAATGGATCAAAAAGGTGTTTCTCAAGAACTGGATTGTTAGCGTAAGCATTATTGATATTACCAAGGAAGGCACTAGTCAATTAAGTAAAAAAAAAAAAAGCTATTAGTTTTCAAAATAATAATGTTCATTTTATATATAGATAGATTATAAACTAGCTATTAAAGAAATTTTACTTACAAGTTTCATAAAACAGCATGAAGCAGTGAGTTAAAAAATTAAATATGCAAGTAAATTGTCCAAACTTCAAATAATAAAAACATTGACGCGATACCAGTATAATTCAAATTCTAATTGTTATCTTTAGCTTCATATAAAGCTTGACCTAACTGTTTGATAAAAATATGTCTATTTCCATGAAATTGCGTGTGTTTAGGCATTTTAAATAATTTACTTGCATAGATACGTTCATCTTTCAAAAAAGAAAGTGTACGAGAGAAAACAGCTTCTCCTACAAGTGTGACAAGGGCATCTGGGTTAATATTTTATGAAAAAAAAAGGTGAATATGTAATAAAAATAAAAATATACACAAATAAATGATAAAGTAATTTATAATATTATCTGTCCTGTGGTTTTCAACTAAAGATATACCGAAACATTATCACATGTATACGAGCAAAGTTATCAATACAAAACAGTTAAACATGAAATTAACCAAAGGTAAACCTGTAGAACAGAAAGTAAACTGATTGATTTTGTAGAAGCAGCAATCTTATAAAGAAATGGGTTGTAAATTAATTACTAATAATTAAATAAAATCGAAGTATATAAAGGCACATGTACGAATGTCAGACTCTTTCCATTTTACCTGTTTCGATAAAATAATTGCAGGTTATAAACTCCATCATGTTTGTGGGGCATATATTATTACTGTTCTAATTACAAGAAAGGATTCAAATGTATAAACTACCCGTGGATTAGCTTTTAAACAAACCGATAATTCCAATTTGCCATAAATGTAGCAAAGATCACTGGTTGTTTTAAGACATGGTTGGTAAATTGATTTTCTGTTGAGAATAATTGTAATTTTGAGGGAAAAAAAATAAAGAAACGGCCTTCATATAGTGACAAGGTTGATTACTACTACTGCCTTGGTTAACACACTTGTTTTTCAAATTTTATTATACGCATCACGGTAGGTAAAAATAATGAAACAACTTTTATTCTGGAACTTTATTAATTTTGTTAGTCAATTAAAAGGAATATAATCGCGAAGGCACATCTACTTTGGTATGCCAACGTGACTATTATGCCAATTTCTTTATTTCGAGCCATGGTAAAAAAAAAAAAGTGTGTTTAGAGAGTACAGTTATACGGGTGGTGCGCATTTCGCCGACAATCACTTCACCGACAGCTTTAGTTCACCGACAATTAATTCACCGACAATTAACTTACCGACAAATTCATTTCACCGACAAAGCAATTCTGGACATTGTAAAAAACGCTTGTCGGTGAAATGAGCAGTCAGTGAAATAATTGTCGGTGAAATGAACTTGTCAGTAAGTTAATTGTCAGTCAAATGAACTTGTCTATGAATTAATTGTCGATGAACTAAGCTGTCTGTGAAATAACACGTATCCCATTTATACAAAGCGAAATACAAAGCTAGAACAAAATATATGCGCATAGAATATGCACTTAGCGAATATCGTATTTGTTAAACCTATTTATATAACTCATAATAATAAATATATAATTTAAAATATTTCCTTCATTTAACATACAGTGTTTAATAATTATAAATGAAAGATAAAAAAAAAACAACCAACCAATATTTAATTCAAAAATTAAAATAATTTATACTTTTCAAATTAAAGAAAATTCACATCTTATACTATATGTGAGCCTTTATGTAGAATAATTCAGATGGTTGGTTATATTCACATAGACTTCTATAAGTTGAAACTATTTGGCTAAATACCAAGATTGGTTCTCAAAAAGCCAAGATTCCACAGCCTTCAATAACTCATCTTGTTGTTTTCTAAACACATGATCAGCATCTTCTATTACTATAAGTTTATGATGAGGTTCGGGACCGATTAACTTATCGTAAGTATAAGCACCATCTATGGAACAAATTTCATCCTTTGAGCCATGAACAGTCAAAACTCTCACTTTTTCTTTAATAATATTCTTTACACAAGACATGTCTACTTTTGACCTCGTTTCCAAATCTTCTTTTCGAACAATATAATCATTTGAACCACCCTCCCAAACAAAAAAGCCATCTTTTTCTAATTTTTCAAGTTTATCAGGAAAGACCTTCTTAACATAATCGGGGTTAGGATAATCATATCTGGCAGAAATGTTGATGACCAATGGAACATCATTATATATTGATGCGTATAAAAGGACAACAGCAGCACCTTTACTATGACCACATATAAAAATTTCACGGTTCAACGTTGATCGCACATAAGAGATAATACAACGAAGATTTTCAACTTCATCATAAAGATTTCCAATAGCTGTTGATCCACCACTTTCACCATTTCCTTGAAAATCAAAAGTAACTACGTGATATTTTAAATTTTCAGCAATGTAACGAACGGGTTGTGCGTATCTTGTACCTCTAAGTCCATGACATAATATAATAACAGCATCACTTGGAGCATTGGATTTTAGATATAATGAACCGTGAAGTGCGAAACCTTTGTCTGTGTCTACTTTTAAAGGAGATTCATTCATATTGCAATTATAAAAAATTTAGCTCTCACTGGGGATAATAAAATAGAGATTTATAATTATAAGTGTATTAAGATAAGTAGATTTTAATAATAGATGGGAAAAATTTAAATGGGAAAGAGCTCATATTTAAGTAATTTAAGTAATAATGAACGATAATTCTTAATGCTAAAATTTATAAAAATTTAATTAATTCGCACAATCGTAAAACGTCCTTAAGATTGTACTTAAAACAGCTCTTATCTAAGTAAGATCGATTGTGATTGTGGATCAGGATCAAGATAGGATCAAGATAGAGTCAAGATAGGGTCAAGATAAGCATAGTGGAGGTTTATTTTGATTGGTTTTTAAAATACCCCGGAAAAAATGTAGATCATTCTCCGGATAAAGTATCGGCTATGTCCGGAGAAATTTTATTACTCACGAAACTTTCAATCAACACTCTCTAAAGGCGTGTATTATAGTCTTATTAGGGCTCATAACTATTCATATTTCACAATGTATACAATATTATTTCATTTCGCAATAAGTAAAATATTTATTTT